AGGCCTCAAACATTCGCATTTCTTTTCAGAAGTGCCTGTTAAAAAGGGAATGCTCTTCTCAGAAGATGAGCACAAAATGGATGAGGATGATCAGAGCACATGTGGTCTCATGGCATCAGCTAAAATCACACTGTTTGAGGTAGAGCTCTTCTTCTAGCTCATTCAACCTAAGTTCATTGCTTTGTACATAATTATAGAAAATAATGTGAGGACTGTGCTTCTTTTTCAAGGAGCTGGAAACAAAGAATGACCAAGAGTCTCTTTCTGCTGCTCACGTAAAAGCCAGACGCATCATTGAGTCTTTTGAAAACCCTTTCAGAATGGTAAGAGATGACCAGTGAATAATCTTCAGTGTTATTTGTATTTTAACCAGACACACAGTGTTCATTTATCTTCTTTGGGATTTCAGTATTTACCCACCAGTGATGTGCACATCAGCAAGAATGCCAAGTTTGACCCTTCTTCAAAAATATTTGAGGTAATCGAAAAGCTCCAGACTTATCTATCTTTTTCCTATTTACTTACATTTTTGGATGTTTAAAGCGATACCATTTCACATATCCAGATTAGTAAAAGATGGAAACTGCAGAGCATCGAACAGCAACAGAAGGAGTTGGAGGCCAAGAGGAAAGACAAGGAAGAAGCAAGGGAACATGCAAAGAAAGTGAAAGGTAATGTGGTCTAACTTTCTCCAAGTGTAAACTTAGTAAAGTAATGCTCCACACTGAATTTAATGTTTATTTCCACAGAGGAAAGGAACAAGGAGAAACAAAGCTACCAGGAGTCTCTCGCGAAAGTTGTCACTGTTCGCCAGCAAGCAGCAGTGAGTCATTTTGCTTCTGCGTCCTCACATTTCCTCTCTTCCACTTCACATGACCTTAGTTGTCAACTTCACTGTTGATGTCCCTTTGGGGTAAAGTACAAATCCATGAAAAACACGAGTTGCATTTTCTCAAGAGCCAGGCACAACCTATTAAAGATAGAGCGTTAATAGTCAGTTTAACCCTCTGCAATGCCCCCCATTTTCTCAAGAAGTGGTTGATATTTCTGCACATAAGTATGATGACTCACAAGCCAGTAACCCATCGCTGCCTTCCTGCAGCACCGGTATGTTACTGGCTTTTTAATATTTATATCTGTCCCACGATGTGTCTGGGGAAGAAGAACACAGCGTGGGCCTGGAGCATGAGAGACATGTCTTCCTCTTCTTTCCTCCCAGGGATCAACAGTAGCTGCTTTTTGCCCAAAACCCCACTTCTTGTTATCTCTGTCTCTCTGCAGAATTGTTTGGCACCCTTCTGCTTGGTTACTCATTCGTGCTCTTGCCACCATATGGTGTTTTCTGTGTTTTAAATGCTCAGTTAGATAAAACTCACAATATAGAATTACCATTTGATTCTTGTTTTTATGTCCTTTGTGGTGACACCACCTCCCCTCAGCCCTTCACTGTCAGCCTTAAGCCATCAATTTCTAGTACACACAGTAATAGCATGCACCACAGTAACCCATTATGTGATGATTGGCTTTAGTGAAAAGTTTGTTCAAGGCTGCTCCCTGCTGAAACAGCGCCTTCAAATATGCACGTTGGCAGGCATCATAGTCATAAGTGTTGGCAGTAGCACTTGAAAGTAGCACTCGTCAACCTGCCAACTGCAGGCAAATATTGGCTGTCTGTTGGCACGCTGTTAGTTTCAGCCGGCACTTCGGCACTAAAGATTCGTTGGTTAATTTTAGTTTGAAAGAAAGTTTCATGGGTTAACTGCATTGCTATTAAAATGCATATTAAGAAAGGTGGGTGCTGTGATCAGAGTCCAGCATCTCAATAAAAATAAATTCAAATGTATTTTCAAAAGTTACAGACACTTGATGATGCTGTCCATGTCTAGCTGAGCCAATGACCAGCATTTCATTTTTAACTGAATTTAAGAGCAGGGAATTTCCAGACGTCTAGCTTTTAGGAGCAGACAAACAGACCTCTAATTTCATAATTTGAGAAAAATTGCCTGCCTAATAGGCACATACAGCTGGATATCATCAGTGTAGCAGTGAAAGTCAATTCCATGACTGCGAATAATTTGTGGCTTTATCTTAAGCCACACAGCAGCCACCTTGCATGTGTTAACTCCTTTTAATGTTGCAGAGATTGTCATTTCAGTCTCATCCCTTCTGTAAATGTCTCACGACACCACACACTGTGGTCTGTAGGATTCTGTCAACCGAAATTTCACAAGTTAGTGTTGCAGAGTATAAAGCAAAGGAAACTTAGAATTGTAGATGGCAGCAGAAGCAACATTTGAGATTGCTGCAGCACCTGTGTGTCGATATAATGTTGGCTTCAGAGGTCACGGCAATATACTTGCTTCAGCTCTGATGAAATAAATGACTGAGATTTTTTTTTAAAAAGCTTTATATCAGCTAAGCACAGGAAATCAAAATGGTAGGAAATTGATCAGTTTTTGTCGATCTCTTTATAATCCACTTTAGTTCCACAAGGATCCTTTGATGAATGTTATTTTATGCAATTTAAATGTGTAGCATAGATCTTAATCTTTTAAGATATCAAAACATTATCATAACAGAGCTCTGATTACTTGTACAGCAAAACTGCTCACAAATACTGCTTGTCCATTGTATGGAACGGTAAACACTGTTCATTATTGTCAAGTATTGTCAAGAGTATAATGTTGTTGATCAATTTCATTAGGAATCTGGTAAAAGTGGCGGAAAGAAAAGAGAGAGGGTTGCCAGTGAGGTTGGACAGTCGACTCCCAGACCGACGAAGAAACTGATGAAATCTGCAGAGAAGACAGAAAAGACAGAAAAGCCTCAACAAGATGTCTTCACACCCTTCGACTACAGTCAGTCAGACCTCAAAGTCTTTGCCGGTATGTTTCTTTCATTTTGATTTTCATTAGATTAAATAAGTTACCAATTACTGCACATTCCCTTACAGTTGCAGTAACATTCAGATCCCTTTGTTTTGCAGACCCCAAATCAAAGGACAACACACAGTTTGATCCAAACCGGCAAAGCCATGATTACAAGAAAAAGGTATTGTCAAAGATTTTTTTTGATTACTTTTTATTGAACCATGTGTAATTTATTTATAAGTGATAAACTTAAATCTATTGTTCAACAGAGAACCCCCAAGGGACAAAAATCTAATTTTGGACCTGGAAACAGAAGCATGTCGTACCTGACTGGAAGATCTGAAAGGTAAACATACAATATACAGTCCAATATTGTTTTCCTCTGCAAGTTCAACCATCTCAGCATGTTACCCATTCTGTGTTTTCACTCTCTACAGGGGATTCCGGCATAACTGGCCCAAAAGATAAGACCGTTCATGGTCTGTTTTTTTTATTTTTATTTTTTCATCCTGAGGAAACGATGACCCCACCTTGCCTTCCTGAAAATGAAATTCAGTATTTCAATATATGATGAATTTGTATTGTTTTTCCATCTTTGGAACAGTGTATCCTGTAAATATGTGGAAACACAGGCCTCTTCATTAAAGATGATTTTCGAGGAAAAAGTTCATCTTCATTTTTTAACTAAACTGTTTCATTTTGTGAGTATCAACGTATTTTTACAACCATTGTCACTGATATTAATAGTTATCAATTTAATTGTCTGTTCGAAGAACATGAAATTACCTGTATGTGACACATCAGCAACACACCCATGTGTAACGGCTTAATGTTACATTCCTGCTCCTTGAACAAGCCTCACTCTTCTCAAAAGGCTTCACACACACACCCCCACACATAAAATAATTTTATAACCTGCCCGCAGGGACCTGGCATTATTCAGTAAGTGTTGTGCCACAGGTTAGTTGGGGCCAAATCAGATTTGAAACCCAAAGCTGAAAGAATGACATTTGGGAAGTAACTGAAACTGCCCTGGCCTCGATTACCTCTGCCAAGGAGGATTTGTTTTTACCCCGTCCCTGTGGGTTGGTATGATAGGGTGTATGTAAGCAAGATAATGTCAAAATGACTGGATGGATTTCTGCAAAAGTTGGTGATAGGATGCGGTATGTGTCAGGAACAAATCCATTAAATATTGGTGCAGATCCAGGAATTTTTCTCTTATCATTTTGAGATGGGACATTCAACATTTTTATTCATCACAGAATAATAAATTGACCTTTCTGAAAAATCTGGATGTAATGAATTTAAATTAAACATATGGGAGCTCTGCACTTTCCTGTTTGGTTCTGCTCTATTAGGTTATCTTCATGTTTTCTTTACAACCTACATTTGCAACCACACCCTTCACTCACACACATCCTCCACCACTGACTTTAATGACTTCCACATTTCATATGTTCACTTTTAATTTGGCTCAATAATTTGAGTTGATTTGGGTAATAAAATATATTGGTATTGGTGTACCGGTGTCTCCCTTTTGTTGGTGCCACTTGAGCCAGATCATGACAAATGTTTAAAGTCTCAATGATTGATGTGTGCACCATACTGTTCCTATGAATTAAATATAAGTAAATAAATACATATAAAGAAGTGATGGCAGGGGTTATACTACACGCACGCTGTAGTTGCTCTGGACTTCAAGCATGTGGCACATCCACGAGCACGTGTGTGGGGACGGGGGTGTCAATGGTTTGCCACCAGATAATCTTTGCACGTGGCCAATGTTGTTTTAACGAGTATATTATAATCTACACCGCGATCTTTTCCCACAACCTAACCAAGTGTGCAGCAAACAGCGTGAGGACACAGTGGGGTCACACAGGCTTTGTTTCCGGGAGCAGTTACACATTTCCTCTCTGATGAAGAAGAGTCTAAACTTTCCTCTTCACATGAACACCACTCCTCTGCACGGGGCGGGGCCACGAGCCGCATCTGAGGAATCACACAAACTATCTTCGAGCCGGCTCACGCTGCCGCCCCATTGGCGGGCGCGGTCTACGTCACTGGCATCCGCGGCTTCCCATTCGCTGCGCCCACCGAGGACAGCAAGTTTATGCGTCAGCGCACGAGCCCGACGTCACCTCCGTCACACCGACGCCGCAGAGAAACACACCGAGTGAACTGTGCAGTTGTACTTGTGGCTGTCGGCTGCGGTTATGGACCACATAAAAGATGGCTGGTTCACGGAGCTGTGCACGCTATGGCCGGGCCAAGCGATGAGCCTGCAGGTCGAGGAGGTGCTCTATCACAAGAAGTCCTCGTTTCAAGATGTTATGGTTTTCAAGAGGTGAGTGCTAACGTGGCTAGCTGTTAGCGTGTCCTGGCAGCGGAGCAGCAGCAGCAGCCGCCTGGAGCTCGTGGGTTCTGCTAAGTTTGCTCAGTGGCGGCTGCTCCAGAGTTTCTCACTTGGTCTCAACTCTCAGCTCACAGGTGCATTAGCTTGTTGGCTAACGAGGTGAGGTAGTGAGGGTGAATGTGTCTGACAGGTTTACACGAGTCACGGCAGCAGTCTTTGAATTATTCATTGAATGATCATCGTTGCGATCATGCAGGGATTTAAACTGTTCAAGTGTGTGGGGTGGGGGTCAGAGGTCATGGTCAGCTGCTTGTGGATCATATTTTATGCAACACTATGCATTATGCAGCACCTTTAAAAATCAGGGGTCACCAAGTGCTCTGACTGACAAAGCAGACATAGATAGATAGATAGATGACTTTATTCATCCCCAAAGGGAAATTAGGATAATTAGGATACTAAGGTGTAATCTCAAACTCATTCACACTAATAAAAATCTTTTCATTGATGATATTTAATCAATCATTCAACATCCATGTCATCAGTCATTTTTATTGAAGCAAACAAATAAACGATATTAAAAGGCATCAACCTACAAAACAATCCCATTAGTAGAAAGAATAAAGATTCTAAACGGTAAAACAATCACCAACAAAGACATGTAGCAGTCCATCCAGTCACTCCACATTCTTCTACAAGACTCATGTTTGACGCCAAAGCTCATTTTTACATGTGAAAAAGGTCTTTCCAAGCTGTCTGTATTCCATGGTTACATGGTGTTACACAGGGGGTATGTAAAAGTGCAGTGAGTCAATTTGGGGTGGGACTGAGCAATAAAACCGTATCAACAACTATCAAATTATGATTTTCATGAATAACAATTAAATTGAAGTTGATCATATATCTATATAATGCGTATGCATTGTACAAGCAGAGTGAGGAGGTATGACCTCAGATTTGTAACACATGTGCAAAAATGTGTCATTAAAAAGAAATGATGTCACATTTATTGTGATAATTGTTTAAATTGACTCGTATGAAAAGTATAGTCTTTATGTAATTCTTGGCCCAGCCTTATTGTATTTCATCACAGTCTCTAAAAAAAAAAAAAAAAAAGTTGACATCATGGTCATTAGTTATTTCAGGACATCCTGCCTCACTGTTGACCCTGCATTGCTCCTTGTATTGTGGGGGAGCCAAAGAAAATGTGGGCTCAGGGTCAATGCCTCAACTTTTATGGAACAGATCGAGTAGCATTCATTCACTAGATTCCAGTTGTCTCCTGCACAGACTGTGTAAAAATTCCAAATTTAAGACCACACATGTCAAATGTGCCTCTCACTCCTTGTTGTCACATCATTTTTCAGTAAAACCTACGGTAACGTCTTGGTGCTGGATGGTGTGATTCAGTGCACAGAGAGAGATGAGTTTGCCTATCAAGAGATGATTGCTAACCTCCCGCTGTGCAGCCATCCTTGCCCTAAGAAGGTACTACTCAAATTAATTGTTTTTGAAATTAATGAAGCTGCTGTAAAATAACACTCGGGAGGACTCGTGCTTTTCTGTCGTGACAATTCAACGACACATTTTCTGTTTTACAGGTTCTGATTATTGGTGGTGGCGATGGCGGTGTGCTGAGAGAAGTGGTGAAGAATCCACTGGTGGAATCTGTGGTGCTGTGTGAGATAGATGAGGTGGGAACAACACAGACATGGATTTGAGCTTCTGTCCATAAAGCAATATTTAATATTTTTCCTGCTTAACACCGGCTCATATCAGTGTTGATGTTACCTCATGTGTAGGACGTCATTAACGTATCCAAGAAGTTCCTCCCGGGGATGGCCAAAGGGTTTTTCAACCCCAAGCTCACCCTTCATGTTGGAGATGGCTTTGAATTCATGAAGCAGAACCAGGATGCCTTCGACGTCATTATAACTGATTCCTCAGATCCAGTCGGTAAGTGCCACTTTTGAAGAGTTGCAAAATCGAACTTTGTCAGCTGCTGTAAGAGGCGGCCCTATCCTGAGCTGTGTTTTTGTTGCAGGACCTGCTGAGAGTTTGTTCAAGGAGTCTTACTATCAGCTGATGAAGGCAGCATTGCGAAACGGTGGAATTCTTTGCTCCCAGGGTAACAAAGCACTGTGTGATTTGTTTTTTAGTAACCCTTCCCATGCAGTTTTATTTCTGTTTATAAAGACTCTTTCAGTTATGTCAAGACAAAGCAGTGCCAAAAAAAGCAGGAATGAACATGGCCTTCATTCTGCCCCTGTCATTTTCTCAGGAGAGTGTCAGTGGCTCCATTTGGAGCTGATAAAGGAGATGCAGACTTTCTGCAAGACCCTATTCCCTGTGGTGGACTATGCATACAGCACCATCCCAACTTATCCCAGCGGCCAAATTGGATTCATGCTCTGCAGTAAAAATCCTGTAAGTGAGTTTATCACTCTACAACACACACGTGGTGCCTATAAATGCCACTAGCTTAAAGGGATAGTTCACCTAAAAGTTTGAATTCACTCATCTACTCACCACTATGCCTATGAAGGGTGGGTGAAGTGTTTGACTCCACAAAACACTGTTGGAGTTTCAAATCCAATACAATTGAAGAAACTGGGGATCACTTCTTCAAACCAAACATAAAGTGCCTCCATGCTGCTCCTGTGGTGTCATCCAAGTGTTCATAAGCCCCGACATTCAAATTTGACTTGAGGCGGCGTCATTTACACAATGTTTTTAGCCTAAATGTTTGCTGCTATCCTCAGCCTGGAGCCGAAGCTATTGCAAGTCTCATGATACTCGTGAGCTGATGTCATCATGTGCCCCTTAGGCGAGAGCATAGAGGCCAAAGCTTGAGCGTCGTGTCTGCGTGAACTATCCCTTTAATGCAAAAAATAATAGCTACTCAATAACTTGTCGGATGTTTGTCTGGAATTGGTGATGACCATCAAATGACTGAGGCCACGCTTCATTTTTTTTCAATCAGGAAACTAATTTCAAGGAACCAGTGAAAGCTCTGGCCAAAGAAGAAATGGAAAATATGAACCTTAAATATTACAACCCTGAAATTCACAAAGCATCATTCGTCCTCCCTGAGTTTGCAAGAAAGGTATGTTTTACTTTTTTTGACTTGTTAAAGTGCAGTGCCTGTTCTAAACATGCCTGTCTGGAATAATTGTCATAGCAGGTTTATCTGCAATTATGATATATTGATTTTATCTTATTTAATCTTTTTCATTAAATGCAACTGAATCTGCTTTATAACTCAGCTCACGTGTGGTTTTTATATGAGTTCAAATGATTTACTCAACTGCTGTTAATTTTTCATACATTGCATGTCAGCTATTTCAGAGTAGAGTTAATCTGAGGACATTGCTTCATTTCACTCAGAGGCTTTTCGATGTTTGGCAGGTGCTCTGTGAAGCATGACCAGCAGTGACAGACCACCATGTTCATCCTCTACCTGGCCCTCATACGACAGATCAACAACCTTTTTCTACGGCCTCTCCACCTCCTCAACACAGTCCAGCTCCTCTGAAGCTGCCTCCTAAAAGAATTTGTGCAGTGGCCTCTCATAATCAGTGGGTGGAAACTTGTTGATTTATACAGACAAAGTTATAGTTTGTTCCCTTCCTTCCAGCACGCTCCCTGTGTTTATTTATTTTTCCTCATGTATTTGAACATTCATTTTTACTCTGTAATTGTCATATCAAAGTTTTGTGAAGAGCTATTTGATGGGCGGGGCTGAGTGGAAAGAGCATTGTCATCAAACCTGACCTCACTCTGGAACATTGTATTGTTTATTGGATTCATTGCACATATGTTATGCAAAATATTACATACCATATAGAGTATGTACATGTAATGCATTTTTATTTGTGATATCATATTGTGCTGATAGGAAAATACAGTGACCATTTGTTACTACACTATATTCAGAATAATGTGTCCTCTACACACAATTGATCCATTTATTTGTTCGTATCATGGTCAGAATCCATCAATATTCATTTATGAGTTTAACACAAACAAATCAAGTACTTTGTACTTAACATTTTATGGAAGTATCAAAAATAGCAATGGAAAAAAACAGGTAGTGGACTGATTGAGATTTTTGGATATTCAGATCAATTCAATTTTAGGGACCAGGAAGTTGATTGTCTTTGTATTTGATAAATGTGCAACAAATACATTTGGTTGATGGCTGCACCTAATTTACTCTAATGAATATAAGCTTAGAACAACATCGACAACTGACAAAATTGACAACACAAGATTCTACACACTGTACCTCTAAGTCACCGAAATTATTGAAACAAAATACATCCTGTGTCTTGTAAACAGGAAATAATTTCACACTAGTCAAGACTTAATGATGACTTAATGACAAATGTGATGTTTGTATTGATGCTCTAACTCATTCATCAAATCAGGTACGGTCATGGCTCAAGTGTATTTGGCGCTAGTTAAATGGTGAAGTCAGTAACCTCCTGCTTGCACAAAATCAACATCTGTCCGTTCAAAGTTATTTTTGACTTGAGCATAAATTTAACAATTAAAAACAACCCATCATTGGATATTATTGTGAACCTCAGTTATTAATAAAGTAACAAACAGCATTTAGTTTTTGTCATTTCGAATGCTGGGTTGAATATGAAAAGAATGAATAATTCTCAGATTATGATCCTTCTAGTGCCTGAAAATGGTTGTTGTTGAAAACGGAATTTTTTATCCTTGTGTCTATCGTAGTGTACCAGGCAGATATTGATGAGTATTCATTCTGGACGAAAGCTCAAATGTCATGAGTTGAGAAAATTGTCTCTAAAATATCATGAACTTCAAATGAGGTAAATCGAATTGATGCTCTTTGATCATTTAACATGGAATACTGTAATGTTGGTAAAAGAACATGAAATATGGTGTTGGAGCTTTGCAATGCAAGAAATATCTTTTAACGGTGATTCATTATGCAATGATAACTTGCAGTATTGGGTATTGACCACTGATGGTAAGCTTGTAAACCAATGTGTTTTACTGCAGGATGCTTTTAATTTCTCTCAATGGAAATCTCATGTCTCCGTGTGGTTTATTTGTTTGTTGAACTAATGTCAAACATCTTCACTTAATATCTGTTACTTTTAATTCCACGAGGAATGAGAAACTGGGCCATACCTGAAAAAGAGTCTGTTTTTATAATAATTATGAACTGTAATAAATTGAACATAAAATGGTTCTGTTTGTATCCATCCTCATGAGTTTACTCCGGCTTATTCATCATTACAACGAGATGCAGAACTACGTTTCAGTTAATTTTGCTCTGGTTTTTAAATGTGATGCGGTTTAGAAGTTGTGATGCTTTTTATAGAGGGGGAAAAAAAAGTTCTGTCTCTCACTAAGGCTGCAGGAAAGCGCGAAAAAATGAGAATGATGTGTTCAGGGTCTCTCTCCTTATGGATTTGAGTTAATCTTTACCAATTGCAGCATCACTTTTCAAACACGTGCAGGGTAATATGTGCTGTGCTGCTGCAGTTTATTGTAAATGCAAAACCCTGCAATGAACAGCACTGAGATCCAAGTGCAATGTCCATATTTAGGCACAAGATGGCACACTTTGTTCTGTTAATGTAAAAGCCGGTTTCACACAGGCAGGACGTACATTAACCAGAAGTTTGGTAGCTCCATCCGCGTCTCCCTCATTCCGCCTGCTGGATTGTCCTCGGGCAAGATACTGAACCCCAAATTGCCCCAGACGCCTGAGTATGACTGATGTATGACAGAGGAGGTGCCGCCTATAGACACACTGTGAATGTACCATTTACATTGTAGAGGTACAAGCAACTACATTGAAATAATGCTGTTCAAACTCAGCAAATTCATTCAGAGGCTTTAGTTTTCTATATCTTCAACCTTCAACCTTTGTCATAGTGTGGCTGGACTCATTTCATGAGTGTGTTCACATTCTGTGATTAAGGAGAGAAAACAGTCCACCTTAAAATTATACTGCAGGGACTGTGAATACAAAGGATGATTTACGTACATGTGCAGATTCACAAATTTGATGCACTCAACACAAAAACCTCAGATGTCCTGTCTTTGGGTCGTTGTTCCTTTGCGATCTCTGTCAGAGATTTTAAGGTGGCGCTGGAGGCCGCACTTGAAGTAATTGTAGTGAAGAGTGAGACTTCCACGCCACATTAATAATATCTGGGAGCACCTACACACCAGTCGTCACGCTGACGTCACCGTTTGAAGTCTCCTGCAGACTATTGCGGACGTTGTAGATCCTTCAAATACACATTGATGCCAGTGGGGCCATTTCAACAGTCAGCTAATCTTTGGATTTGCTCCGGGCCTTCTTCAGCTCAGCAGAGTGTGAAGAAACACCTCAGAAACTGTTTTTAAAGCACCACAAATCAATTTGAACGTAACTGGACTATGAGTACTGTATGTTCCCTGCACACTGTCTGAAGACGTCTGAACAGTAAAGCCAGTAAACTCTGTTAATTGTGCTTTTTCAGTGATGTATCCTGGAGGCTGCGGTCAGCATCTCAAACACTTGAAATAAGGATGTGTGTTTTATGCTGCTCTGTGTAATGGGCTTTGGTGAGGAGTTCACCTCAGACAGGCCAGAAAAATGAGGCTTTAAGAGTAGCTCACACAAATTTAATGATGTTATGTAGACATATAAAAAGGTCACAGTATTTAGAGCTATGATACATATGAATCTATGTAAGCTGCACCACATGGTTCTCAATAATCATATGTATTTGACCTCTGGACTGCTCGCTGCAGTTCCTCACTAGGTGAATCCAAACAGCTTAGTCTGTAATGTGAATTTAATTGAATATAAATATGTTGCACTCTCACAGTCCCTGTGTGGTTGTAATTTAAAATAAAATGGCAAATACATTTCTGCAAAATTAACCACGTAGATCAAAGTTAACCATCAGGTCCATCATGTCACACATCTGGCATGAAGACGATTTGCTGCATCTTTTTGTAATCTTTCTTCCTTTTCCTTTTTTTCCACCAGATCGGTGATGTGCATTTCCTGAAGACACCTCCTCCAGTCATCGTGAGTGTCAGACCAGTCAATTGTAATCTGCAGGTGTCAGTGAGGCACACAGAGGGACTGTGACAGGAATCAGATGTTGACATATAGTACAATCAAGTGCTCAACACTGGGATGTGCAGGTGATCAGGTCCACTTGTTTGCATTCCTATTCTTTGTTTTTTGATTGCGACTGCAGGAAAAAACGTGAAAGTGTAATCTTCAGGAGTATTGAGGGGGGTTGGAGTACATCTGGTGATATCACACAGTTTGATGAGTTGTGGAATTGTCTGCCCTGCAGTCTGAAGAGGTCCTGTTTCAGACCGTCTTTTCATAATTGCCAATACATTATCCACATGATGTCAAACCCTGCATGGTTTTAGCGCGGTGACGTTGTCTGCGGCAGATGTTTTCTCCATGAATCACACCAACACGACCGACCACCTCCATTTGTTCTGTCCTGACCTCTCCATCTCCCCCTCCTCTTCCACACTCACCACCCCCTGCCCCAAAATGCACGCACACATATACCCTCCACCCTCCCGTCATACACCCACCACCGTCTACGTCAGGGGCAGGGGGGGGGGGGGGGGAGGCATTATAAAAGAGTGAGGGACTTTGGAGGATGAGGAGAAAAAACACCAGTGGTTTCCAAATCTTTGTGACCAGCTGCCTCCAACTGCACTGCACTTTCTGCACCGCTCTCCTCTGGATCTCTGACTTGCCTGAGCTGCTCACACTCTTGCTCTCAAACACAAACACACACACACACACCCTTACAAAATCTCTGTGAGGCTCTTGTGAGTGTAGCACTGGTCCGTCACCTGCACTCCGGTCACAGCATGCAGCTCCTGGTGGTGTTAGCAGCTTTCATGGGGGTTGTGTTCAGTGTAAGAGCAGCCGCTGTGCTTCCTGTAGAGGATAGAAGCCCCATCCATATGAGCAGGGTGAGTAGATTTTTATTGTTCTATTAATTTCATCTTTTATTACTGATTGACTTATATGTTTTTTTGTTAAGAACCAAATTGAATAAGTAGCATTTTTTAAAGAATATCTGAACTTATATTGAAAATTGCTTGTTTCATCAAGAGAAATGAATTCTCCTTGAATTTAAATTTGAAAGAATTTGTGCTAGAGAGTGACAACAATTTTTAATTATTCCTGTGAACTCGTGTCTGAATTGGAAAAATGAAACATAATGAAAATTTGCCACATGAATGCGTCTCAATAATATATTCTCCTCTTCTCTGATTTTTGCTCAGGAGCTGAGCAAAGAGCGCAAGGAGCTGATCCTGAAGCTGGTGTCTGGCTTGTTGGAGGGAGACCTGGACACCAACATGCTGCCTGGGGATGTGGCACCTGTGGATCTGGAGGAGCCGCTGGAGTCTCGTCTGGAGGAGAGGGCTGTCTACAACCGGCTATCACTGCCTCAGCGCGACCGCAAAGCCCCCTGCAAAAACTTCTTCTGGAAAACGTTCACCTCCTGCTAACAGTGCCCAAACAAACCCCCCAACTCACCCTCCACCAGGCTCTGCCAGCCTAACGTGCTCCTTCCCTCCACAGCTCCATATGAACTGTATTTGACCTCAGCTGTACATATCATCTACACCTGTCCGAGACGCAGCATTGATGGACTTCACTGAGACAGTGTGTCTGTTTGAATATTAATTCGTTATTTATGTATAAAAATATAATGTATTTATGTATGTAACAATTTCTTTCAGGGTCAACAATAAAGCATGGATCAAATATTTGGGATGGTTCTAACAGTTTATTGCTTTTGCAAATGCTTCAGAGAAAGGGTCGTATTTTTCCACCTGTTTCTACGTGATTATAATTGCAAAGTCAGATTTCATGCAAAAGATATGACTGCATTTTATTACAATTGGGACATTTACTGTGCTAAAATTGTTGAAATATTTTATGGTTTGCCATTATCACTCAAATTTATTTCTGCATCTGCTGAAACCAGGTCGTAAATGGCACATTTTCTCTATTGAAAGTCAACCAATCCTTTTCTTTCAGTAGGTAGGTGTTAGGAGGTAACAGAGGGTATAATTCATAACATGTGTATCATAGTTATTCTGCTTTGTACTTGTTACAAATAAAAAATACTGAAAGGGAAAGACTTGCGTAACACGATTATTTGAGAGGGAATAAAATTAGAATTATTTTCACAATTTCTGAAAAAAGATGTCAAATGACTAAATACAAATAGTGGTGTTAGGCCTAAATGCTTTAGTAAAAGTAATTTTTATAAAAATCTGCTTGGTGGTGACAATCTGTAATGTGTACATGTTTTATTATTTGCCTTATTAATGCCTGGTCACAGGTTGATGGAGATGCTTCAGTGACTTATCACAGGCTGTTAAACCTGTCAGTATAAGGAAAATAAATAAAGTAGGAGCGCCCCAGCGTTCGCAGCATGCTGACCTTTGACAGCAGTTACGGCACATATAGCACGAAAGGTAGAACACCACTGTGTGATGAAACAGCAGAGACGATTTTAAATTGACAGGTTTAAAGATAATAAAATGTTCACCGCGTGACCCGGTCAACCCAGTTTTTGATTCTTGCAGGAAAACATGACCCTGCACAGACCACCAGTGACTTATTACTCAATCAGTCACACTGCAATTACCAAGCACTCTCACAGCTTTCCTGGCATGTTCGAAAATCTGATGTGTGTGTTTTTTTGAACCACTTACCATGGCATAGGGTGCACCAGGGGATCGCCACAGTTAAATATTGACTTTCAAGCTCAGGGCATGCCGCAGTCCCTATTGGAGAGCTGACAAATTTAACAAAGTAAATTACATGCAGGGGAATATATTTCTGTATGAGTCAGTTCAATCAATTAGTGCTTTCATGAAAGAATCATACAACTGAGCAAACAAAAACCAACCCCAACTCTTAGGTTTCCTGAATAATGGAAGCAAATGTGTAACAACCACAAAAGAACTTTAACGACATTATTTACATTGAAAATAATAAAAAGTGACGTCAAGCTGTGTGTGAGAAAATTGGCAATGCAAATTGTATTCAAAGCTTAGCAGAGCTTTGGGGCAATCATCAAATTAAAGACTTAGAAATGTGTTAATTCTGAAATAACCTAAAAACAACCTGTCACCGGAGTCCATAGAAATCCCACACAGCAAAAGGCGAAGCTCGGAAGAGGTTTCATTACAGTCTTTTCAGCCGGGTTCGTGTCTCATCATCTTCCTGAGCTGGATGAATAGCAGATAATGATGAATGCACTTGTTTCACAGGTGCCGCAAAGACTCGAGTTAACCTCAGTTCACAGCACTGATTCAATTACAGGTGGAACATGAAAGGCCCCGGTGATGATGTTTTTTTCTTCTATTGTCATTACGTGCATGTTCAAGACAGTTTGGAGAGAAGAGCTCATCAATCGTACATAGTTTTTTATTCAAAAAGACAATCAAAAATTCCCTGAAAACAGCTCTTGATGCAGAGTTACAGTTCCATGAATTTCTAAGCGACATAATTACATGGTTTGCTGTACCGTCGCTCCCTTTAAAGATGCTGAATAAACAAAGACCCCTGTGGTCTTACTTGATTACAGGTTCCTCATGCAGCATGTGTCATTGGTGGAATAAAAAGAACCGTTTTAGATATGATGCATTTCCAGGTGTACAACCTGGAATGACTGGACCGTATATGCCAGAATAAAAGACAATCATTTTTAAGAGTGAAAAAAAGAGAAATATTTCTTCTCTAACGCAGTACCTGGTAGCAATCAGTATCTCTGGAGTTGTGATAACACAACAAAACAATTTGATGTCGGCAGAGGTGCTGTCCACTCCTGACTTCATGCTCCTGGGCTCAAATGAGCATACAGAGGAGCAACATCAAAGGCAATGCCTGCAAGCGAAGCATTTTATTGGCTTTCCTTTTGATCTGAAGGAGGAGGGAAGGCAATGCTCAGGCCTAACTGTGTAATTCAAATTTAAATGTGACTTCATATGTGGCGGTGTTTAAAAATAACAAAGACTTAGGTTTTGTTGGTGCTCCTCATAGGGAAAAAAATGACTTCAAAGTGAACCCACTAACATAACATAAATGCAGAGGATAGTTGTAAACTTTATAGGATGTAAAGTACAGAGAAACAAAGGTACTAGGAATCTAATCGCTAATTGTTCTGGGTTCCAGGTTTTTAATGTTTAATCTGCCATGTTATGTTTAGTTTGGTGGTACATTAGGAAATATGGTGTGTGATTTGTGGTTAATAAATGTTGGATCATTCAACTCTCAGTACAAAACAGAGTGACTACAAGTCATGAAGGGGATGCTCCAATTTAGACTCACACTTATGTATATCTACACATATCCATCCGTTCATTATCTATACCACTCAGTCTTCAAGGGTTGCTGGGGGAGCTGGAGCCAATCTCAGCTGATATTGGGCAAGAAGCGGGGTACATCCTGGACAGACCAGGGCCACAGGTACAGAGACAAACAACCACTCACTCTCCATTCACACAAACAGTCAATTTGGAGTTCCCATTAATCTGTAGAAAATCTACACAGACAGGGAGAGAACATGCAAACTCCATGTAAAAAGCTGCGGCCAAACCAGGATTCAAATACATTTTATCATTTTAAGTCCTCGTAGGCAAATCAATGTGTGCATTTTGAAAAAGGTCAAATATAGAGACTGAAAAATATCATTTAAATCTGTAGAGATTGTTTGCCTACTTTAGACTAATTCTCACAATCTTGTCAACCCTGTATCTCCAGCTTATTTCTACAGTCCAAATATATAAAGAGCAATTGCAAATGGGTGTTTTTGTTTTCCAAGGGAAATCAATGATTGCAGACTAAAATACCTCAAATAAATAATCCTACAACCATTTAGAGCAACGGAGTGTGTGTTGAAGCTCAGCGCTACAGAAAAATATCTGGGAGAATTTCTGGAGGAAAATATATGGTACAATGTTTTGTTTTGTGTCTGTATTTTGCTCCTCAACATTTAGTCATATTTGATTCAGTTATTTTGTTAATTACCCTTGTGTCTCATCTCTGTGCACTTTACTTCCTGTTTTTGTCTGCTGTCCCTCCTTCACTGATCATAGACTCCGCCCTAATTAGTAACACCTGGGTCTTACTTCCAGTATTTAAATCCTGCCTTCTCGCCGGTTTGTCTTCTTTGTTTCTCAATGTTAATTCTTGTGTTTTCTTTAAGAGTTATTTTTCAAGTTTTGTTGGTGGACCTTTTCTTTTGTATTTTGTGGACAAATTCCTCTGATTTAACTGCCGACCTGTACATCTGTAAGTCAAATCAAACTCCTTGTGTGCATTTGGGTCTTCACCTGTCTCAAGCGTGACGTACAGTTTGTTTAATAGTGGCTCAATGGAGGATTCAACAGATTTCTCCATATCAGCAGCAGCCATCTAGATTGTAAATCAAAATGTGCTCCCCTGTCAGTCATATAAAGCCCATCCACCATTTTAGATCAGATTTGTAAAGGGAGGGAGGGAGTCATGCTCAAGTGGGAATAAACTGGTGTCCAGGTTATTGTATATTTAGTTACTGTTAAACATTTAACAACATTAATAAATCTTTATTGCTCCCTAGTGGACAAGGATTGTTTACTGCAGCTTCTTTGGCCTGGTCCCAACATCATCTAAAACTGCAAAAATTCTCCTGCAGTCATTATTGTAGATTCCTGTCTTCATGAATAAACACTAACAAGGAAACAGAGCTACACAATGCTAGGTCCAAAATGGAGGAAGAAATCATAGGCTATCAGCTGTTTTTATACAACCTGTCTGTGTCAGAGTATTAACTGTATCTGTTACACAACTTCTGCTGGAACTAATTTAGTAAAGTGCACACATCTCTGAACCACTGTGGTGTGACCACATCTGTGTATCAAAGGTGTGTGAGTCTCAACATTATCTGTAATGATGTTTTCATGGTCACAGTGAAGAGAGAAGAGATTGCATCTGTCCTTGATGATTTCATCGCTTTGGTTAACACCAAGGTGATTGTTTCTGAGAGTGAACCTGAATCTTGAGTCTGACATACTGTCTCTCATTAGGATTTACTGTAAAATTACTCAATATCTTACCTTTATTATGTTGCCTAAATGCATTGATAGTTTCACTGTAATTGTAAACTGGGTTAGCCTCACGTTGTATTTGTCTCTGTATTTCACAGATGTCAGAACAAATTTCCATCCCGCAATCGTGAAGATTTAGAAATGGTTAACATCAAACGGTTCTCTAACCTGGCCTGGATCAGTCAAGACAGGCCAAATTAACACCCTGCGCTCGGCTGATGCTTCTCAGGAAAGGTGTTAACAGGCGGGTTGTGTGGCGATTCCTTGCTGAAGGAAAGGCTGTGTCCTCCTCTGTGTACAACTGATGCTATAAACAAATAATTTAAAAATAAATATAATTCTACATGAAATCAAATGTTTTAGAGATTCAAGCACCTGCAACTGATGTGTTTCATAAGATGTACTGATTCACCATGTACCAGATTAAATAGGAATAATTCTACAAACTGGAAAGTCCTTGTTATACATGTACACATTTGTACATATTTGATAGGTTATGATACAGTGGGTGAACATGTTTGTTTCAGAAACAGAGATGAAGGTTCTGTGCAGTACACATGTACTTGTACTTTATTAACCCAGCGACTGTTGATGCAGTGCCTGCAGCGGCCTTATTCATCTCTGTCAGCTGGCCTCAGTTTGTTTAGTTGTGACATTTCAGATAGGTTGTACACAGAGCACTGAGCAAAAGCATTATGGTCGACTAGCTGAGGCATTTTGAAGAAAAATAAATATATATACAAAGTAACCACCAGACAAGTTATGTGTGTGTGTGTGTGTCGAGATCATCAGAGCCTTTCAGTAGTGACTCTCCTCTATTCAGTTGAAAGTATAATGATTTCATGGCTTCCTGCTGTAGAAGTTTAGATCAAGATTCCAGCCTAAATAAGATTTTTCCATTGAAACCGACAACCAGATGTTTCAGATTAAAGAAATTATGCTTTTCAAAGGCATCGTAAAGAGCTTCATCATCTGTGATAAAGAGACATTCGCCGCTGCGTGATGCTGAGCATTGACGGAGTGCAGCATTCTGGCACACTCATGACACACAGGCTTAAGTGTCTCTGATGTATCTGTCCCAAAGAGTTCCCTTGTTTGGGAGCACAGTTAGGAATGGAGAATTTTTTTTTCTCCCCCAGCAGGGCCTAATGATGCCTGATGGCTTATTCAGTCTACTAGTGGCAGCGCTAAAAGCTGATCATTATAGGGCCCTCTGCTCTTTCAGCGCTAAAGCCGTGGCTCGGAAAATGAGCTGTCAAAACAGCATGAGGAGAGGATGCAACCCACTGGTCACTATAGTGACCCTTATTCAGTCTGGGTGCCACTATTTTGAGAAGCTGGGCAGGTCTGCAGCGTGAAGTAAAACTTAAGTTTTCAAGGGTGTAGTTAATGGTGACGTTTGAGTGCTGTGGGTTTTGTTTTTTTAAACCACAGTTTATATTCATTGTTGCAAAAAGCAGCAGTCCTGTCAGTTTAATTGGAATATTTTTAATATGTCTACCTCTTGATTTTCTTTTTGCCTTCACAATGTAATTAGGATACCAGATAATAAATAAACAAAAATTCAATTTGACTAGATTATCCCCCATCGACTCACTCTGTGAGGCAGTTTGTAGTTTCAGCTACATTTTAATGTCATATGTTGATGTTTATAATGTTCACCATCTTACTCTAGAGAGTTAAGATTCGGACATTTGCTTATTAGCTGGATCTAAGGTCATTTTGCAGCTATGTAGTCGCACCCTCTGGAGGCCTCTTTAGAGACCGACTCCATGACAGCCTCACAATTAGGATGTCCCATTCCGAAGGTTCATTCAAATGCGGTTGAGAAATGCGTCCTTTCATTCTCAAGAGTCTGGAGCTCCAATGGGAGTCCAAAAGCATAAGCCACTCTTTGTTGATGTTGTAGCTTTTGACTCAACACTATATCTTGTATCTGATCAATATTAGCTTGACTTTAGCACAATTTGTCTTGCTGTTTTTACCCAGCAGAAGACATCAAGTTATTATGCTTCAGTTCTTCCATATGCAAACATCCATTTTAATTGAAAATTGATCCTTAATTGCTCAGCAGATGATATTTAAATTTAGCATTATAAGGCAACAGTGTGGTAAGTGTACATCCTTGGCTGGATTAAATTAGCAACATCTCCGCAGTCAATACATTTGTCAGACACAACATTTTTAAAAATTTTCCTGTTTTTCATAAAATCTTTAATGATGCAGCCAAGCACAGAAATAACGTGTAGGAGAAGCAGAGGCATTGCTTTGTAGATATTTGGTTGTACCAACAGTACAAAGCATGTAAAGATGAATTGTTTGGTGCTTCGTTGAACAATTCTCTACGCCGACAACTAATCACATTGGTTCATCTGCTTTGACTCCTTCTGTGAGAACGTGTCGTCCAAGTAAATTATTGTGTCCACATGTCTCAATGTCTGGAGGAACATCCCTGAAATTCACCATCGGCCTGTGAGCCTCGAGGCCAATTTCCACAGGAGTTGTGCTGGTTGAAAAAGCATCAAGTTGGAAAATTATATTGGTTATTATCGTAGAAAAACTCAAGCAGTCATGTTATATATACAATAACATAGTCTCTATGTATAATTTTCAATTGCTGAGTGCTGCTGTATTATAGTCATTAAACTTCTATCAGAGTAAATGCAATCCATCAAGATAAAGCAGCGTTCCCGTCACAGTTCATTAGGCTGGCTTTTACACTGAATGTCAGACTCATGACCAGCAGCCACTCATGTTGATGGTGTCATTAGAAGAACAGGACTACAAGGAGGTAGGGAAGCATCACAAGATGATATTGACTGTCTTGTTTAAGCACCGCAATGTCCTCTATGAGGTGTACAATATAGGTCTCCAATCACAGGGACACACTCCTGTGATTAGCCAGCAGAGCTGTCATTGTTTGCCTCAGTCTTTTGTACCCTCAATAGTCTTGTTGCCACAGCACCAGATGAGAATCAGTTTGTAGTGCTACTTACGACTATTTTCAGGACAATTGGGCCCTTGTGGGATAGCTATACACCTGATTGCAGTTCCTCTAACAACATGAAATCCCTTTTATGTCAAATGATCTGGTTGCAATACACACACACACACACACACACACACACACACACGGCGTAGGCTACCAAGATCCTAAATGTCACCACACCATTATGTGTGACAGTGATGGTTTTCGTTTATTAATGGCATGTGAAGTCCTTGCCGCCTCCGACCAGAGTTGTGCCATTACTCATATTGGAAATCTATGTTTAATGTTCAGGCTGACCACCATTTTTCTCAAGCCTAACAGACCCGAAAATGTTTAATCAATTATACAAGAACTAACCCCCATTAATATCCCTACCAGAGTTATTGAGTCATGGCCCGTCAGCACTGTTACATCATTTCATATCAGTGATCTGAGTGGATGTGTCTTTGACAAGGGCCCTGATGACTGGGTCAACGTGTCTCCCAAATGACAGGATGGGGAGTCTGAGGAGGGACGACCCAAGAACAGGCGACATGGTGACAAGGGGATGTCCCCAGATCCACTGAGGCATGGGCCCTACCACCTTCAGAGCTCCTGTAGGGTCCATGCTTTTGTGGATTAAGGCTCTTCTGGGGCACATGGAGAACCTACATGTTAGGAAGAAGTTATCCTGATGCTTTGGCTCATAATTTTATGTCACAAAAAATATTCACTTGCAGGCTTATCAAGAACTTAGAGAGGCGAGTCATTTTCTAAATCTGTGAAAGTCATCCTGGGTCAGCAAGTTTTTATTATTCTCCTTTGGCCGTAAATCGTCATTCAGTCGTTTTGTTGCAAAAGAGCGAATGAAGAAAAAAAAAGCGTGGTGATGGTGAGCACATTAATGAAGGAGAGGATTCTGGGGCGAGAGCAGCACCTGTGTGTCATTTCTCATCATTGCTTCCTCGCGCCAACGTCACTGACTGCTTTACTGCCTGATGGCAGTCCACTGAATTGCCAGAGCCGGGGCCCGTTCGAATTAGCAAGGAAATGACCGTATTTGTTATCTGCAAAAAAAAAAGCCATGCCAGGCCAAATTGAAAGAGTAATGGGCCTGACGTCAGGAATGAAATCTGGCACAAAAAGACTCAACATCAATTCATCAGGAGCCATTCTTGATGATTAGCATCGTGGTATGTTGGGAGCCGGGGTAAACAATGAATTATACATTGAACATC